ACAATACTTATAGCAAAACCATGACACAGTTTTCAGGGGGGCTTTATCTGCTTATTATTTGTAGTGAAAACATAAATATCAATATAACTAAGTACTGACCTGACCCTCTCCAGAGCTACTATCAATAGCTTCCACCTTTCTGTACAGTAGCTCACTGTCTCCTAACAGAATCCTCCCAATTCTTCAGTGCACACACCCACACTTGTTTTCCATGTCTTTTGGTAAAGCCACGCAAGTGAATATAATCAATTTCTAACAGCGGTTCATTAAAAACAACAGTGGGCATGTCAGTGTTTACTTTTTATTATCATGGTGCTTCCCTAACTTCTTTTTCATTCTGTTGCTGATTTTGTGGTTTAAATATTTATTGTAGTTCCTTAATTATCATTGAAAAACAACAAGCAATGCTGCATAACTTGATACAGCAAAAGAGATAGCCCTTTATCTCTTTGTGTGTGGATTTCAGATGATCTTGCTACAACTGTGAAACACAAACAGATGTGAGGAATGCCTGTTCTAACCTGCTCTCTGGGTCTTGGCCAGTCATGAGTTGGTTCTGGAGGAATTGTGACAAAATGCTGCTATCCTGACTGAGAGTCTCACCTTCAATGGCCATATCTCTCTTGACCCTACTTCACTCTATGTCGTGTTGGCCTCTGATCTGCAGATCCACACACTTGATGAATTTAGTAACAAGCTTATCCACCACTAACCCTTCATTTGGGTGAGGTTAGCAATAAAGTGGCGGTAATGTAGCCTAAGACTTGGATGACATCTGTGCTGACGGCAGAATGTGCTGTGCATAACATTGGAATTGCTACTGTATCCAAGGACATCAGTAAGTTCTGTACTGCATCCTTAGAATGTCATTCATGTGACTACTCGAGCTCCACATGTTATTTGATAGAAGCTTCTGGATAATTCCATTATATTTCCTGCCAAATAAATGTGGTCAGAATGCATCCTTCTCCCAAAAGATTAAGATCTATTAACAAAGATCTATTTCCCTGATTTTAATGTCTGGGAATGGAGCTGACCTCAATCCCCTACAAGGTTTTCCCCATCTTGTATCTCCTCCTGTTCCTGTCCACTTGTACCCTGAGAGTAATCTTTTGCAGTATCCTCTTGTCACTCTAAATTTTATGAAGTAGATTTTGTAGCTGGTGAAAGATTATAACAGCATAAGAAACAGGAGCAGGAGTAGACCATTCAGCCCTTCAAATTTACCCTGCCATTTAATTAGATCATGGCTGATTGTCTACTTCAATAACATTTCTACACTATTCTTGTATCCCTTGATGTTTTTAATATATAGAAATCTAACAATATCTTTCATAAACATAGTAAACAACTTCAGCACAAAAAAGAGTAAGGTAAGTGCAGTGAAAGTGTGTCAATAAAAAATTGTTCCTCTACCAGAAACCATGAATCAGCTGGTTCTGAAAGCCTGATAGGATCTTGAAAGTTCAAAGGAGAAGGCACAGGGCTGAATTTTACCAGGTATTGGCTAAGTGTCAATTTTGGTGAGTTTCATTCAGGAAATCTCTCCATGAAGTCTTAGCGAGCTCTCTTACGCTCTCTTTGGAAGCCTGCTTCAATACAAATGCACCATATCCCTCTGGCACTCTGTTCATCTTATTTCCCCACTTGCTGTAAGCAAAGGTACTTGAAACTGATGGGATATCCTGCAATCTCTTGAGCTGATGCAATATTTGAACTCTAGCCATGTACCTGGTCAAGTGCTGGCAGTCCACAGTTGTCCTCCACTGTGCACACTGTAACCATAAAACAACATTTTTCAGGGCATTCAGGTGATGCAATGGACACCTCATTCACCTGTCAGAGTGTGTACTTACCCCTATTAAAATTTACGAAACAAGCCACCCATCTTACACATTCTCAACCTCATCCCATCTTACAACCCTAAGTCAGTCCTACATTTTTCCCAATGCCCAGTGTAGCCCAGCAGCTACTCTTTGTTTGAGGTGGGACCATCACGTGTGGGGAAACCTTCATATGGTTCAAAGGATTCACTTTTATTCAGCAACAACTGAACTGAACAAAAAGCAAACAAAATGGGAACAGAAACAGATTGCTTGCCTTTTGAGTGCCAGCTAATTTACAGTCGAAGAGTGATCGCTGCATCCAGCTCTCATCTACTGTCAAAGAAGTCCTGGCTCTTTTTACTTGATGCTGCCATGGTCTGTCATTCAGTCCATCAAGTCTATTTTGCCACTCGATGAGATAGATCATGGCTGATCTGATAACTCTGCCTTCCTGCCTTTAACCTATAATCCTTGGTTCCCTAACTGATTAAAAGATTACCTTTAAGATCTGGAGGAGGGGAGAAGGCATAAAAAGACAAGGCAGGGATCCAGTCAGCATCAAATTAGGCACAAAATGAGTAAGTGCTAAGAGAACAAAGGGGCACCTGTTGAATCCATGAGTTGGGTGCCTGTTCCCACACACAATCAGTCCTGGTAGCAGAGTTCCAATGATAGATATGAGGAAGTTCCAAAGTGCAGCAGTGATGTGCAGAAGTGTACTGTAAGAGGATTGGAGATGTGCTATGAGGGTGCGGTGAAGCTGGTAATATGACAGATGCCAAGGTGCATGAATAGAGTTGCGAGGTTCATGCAGTTTCTGCCAATGGAGTGTATCTGCAACGTTGGCACTTTGTGTCCGAAGTAGTGGCCTGTAGTAGCAAGGTAACAGCTCTGACTTTTATGTCAGGAACTGTTGCCATCTAGTTTCTATCTGACAATTGAAACTTTCATATTAATACGGTGAGATTAGGTCACAATGCAACATTAATTCGTGCAAATAGATCTCTTGCTGCTCATTAGTGACAATCCCATCCTGCCATTTAAAACTTATTGGAAAATGAGACTTCTTGCTCTTAATGTCAAGAAGTTCCTAGCTGTCCATCTCACCATATTTTCCCAATCTTCTTTCCAATGCCCACATTGTTCAGTATCTGGGAAAATTTCACCCCCTGTAACTACCGGGAGCTCAGAATGACAGAATTAGCATGGCATTGGAAAAGCAACGGTGCAGAAAAATCAATTTGCTTTATTTTATCTAATCAATGTGCCACGATTATCTGGTGCATTTGAATGCAGTCAGTAAACGTTTAGTAGAACATATTTTATGTTATGACTGTGCCTGAAACATTGCATACACAGAACATTGTTGCCAGAATATAATTAATACTGTGATGTGTTGTTTTTATATTTTTGTGACAAGTAACTATAAACAGACATTTCTCATAAATTCAGATGCCACAACTGACCAACTGATGGGTGTGTAGTGCTCTGTTAGTTATTTCTTCAGAAAAATGATGTAAAGGCACCTTCCTTAAAAATATGATAAAAACTATGCTGAAATAAATGAAAAGTACAGTAACAAAAATCTTTAAAAGATTGTTAAAGAACTACTTGTTTTAAAAAATCCAGTTAAAAAAGTCAATGAATGTGAACAAACTTTTATGAATAGTTAACATTCTAACTTGGGAATAATAGGATCATCCTCAGTGGTGTGAAACCTGTAAATAAATCTTAATCCTCTTTGCATTAGTACAATGTGTGATAGCTTCTGCAAACATATTAATATGGGATGCTTGTTCTGCTGAATGCTAATTGAATGCTTTAAACAGTAACTTACTTTCTTCATGATAAACATCTTCTGCCTTTGCTATAATACTTGTTAGCTGTCCTTTCTTTTAAGCTTTCTCAAGTGAATTGTTTAATTGTTTCAAGTATTGATGTGACATCTTCTAAGGTTCTCTAAGAATCTGTTAGTAAACCAACATTGCAATTTTGTGCATTATGTTTATTAAATATTAGAAATGTATAAAAAGGACATTGTTGTTATAGTTGTTACATTGAAAATATGTTTTTAAAGCTAGAAGTATCTTTCAACAATAGGACGATGACTGATCTCAACTGAATGTTTGTTTTTAAAAGATCCAATTATGTCAAAACAAACGCTGTTCATAAATAAGAATATTCACACTCATTGGCACTTTTAATTCCTCATTTTTTTCCAGTCTTCATGGTTCTAAAGCTTCTGGTCAGAAGCCGTTTGGCATCCATTTTGTGCACAATTCCCCTTCAATGATATCATACATATAACAGTGGTAGCAGCAGCTCCACGCATTCCTATTATAGCTGTGGAATTTCCTAATAAATTGATGTCCCTTAAAAGACTCTTTATTGAAGTAAGTGTGATTTAAAGAAAATAATTTTGTCAAAAATTCAACTTGGAATCCATATATC